AAATATATATATATTAGTTATCATGCCACAAAACGCCAGCCAGACTTAAATTACAGGGAAGCAAACAGGAAGAGTTGATGGAATTTCTATAGAAGTATCAAAGGGAGGGATTCTTTTCATATTCACAGATTAATCCAAGCTGTCTTTAATTACTTATGCTGAGAAAGAATAGACACAATCCATTCTCTCAGCTGTTGGTAACAGGGTGGGTTACAGTAATAACCCTACAATACTTCCTTAATATTTCTTATTAAAGAAGAGACTTCAGTCTCTCTACATTATAAGCTTTCTGCTAAGCTTTTGCAGAAACCTCTTAAATGTCCTTTGTGACTCATCCACCTGCTTGTCTGTTGGCCTCATCTTCTGCTACAGAACTTCAACACGTTGGATATGTTGGTCCCGTATCTGTAGATACTTGTATGCTGCCTTGAATATGTTTGGTTTACTAGCAGTGGTAGGGTACCCTTTTTTAACTGCAGTTAATGGTGTAAGAGGATTCAGCACTTTTTGACCAAAAGCATTTTGGAAGCATTTTGCATGTTTTCTTCAAAGGGTCCATCTCTACTTTTAATAAAGCATGGTCTTGAAGTGCTTGACTTTGACAGAGTCTCCTTTGTCAGGCTCCACCTGAATTTCTTATGCTGTCAGTGTTTTGTGTTCAAAGTGCATGCACACAGGAGCCCATGAAATTGAGACTGCTCTTGTTAATAGTCGTTCCTGCCTCAAGGGTGTAGAATTTAAATCTCTGAATGCAGAAACAGAAATAAAAACAGTAGAGAATGGGTATCTTCTGATTTAGAAAACTCATAACTTCCTAACATTGTGTCACCAAAAAGTAAGAATTTAACAGAAGGCTCCTCTGGGTTAGGTTTTAATGCAAGGAAAAACACGCACTTAAATTTTCATTAATCTTGCCAGTAAATTGCAGAGAGATGGGTACTTTGCACTTTCTTGGTGTGTTTTTTTTGTTTGTTTGTTAAGATTTATCCCCCCCCCCCCCTTTTTTTTTCCTCACTTCAGAGGATAGTAGAAAATGAGAAAATAAATGCAGAGAAAACATCAAAGCAGAAGGTGGATCTTCAGTCGTTACCCACACGTGCCTACTTGGATCAGACAGTTGTACCTATCTTACTACAAGGACTTGCTGTGCTTGCAAAAGAGAGGTAAGATGCTTCAACGTCCCTTCTGTTCTTGGGGGAAAAGGTAGGTCTCAAATGTGGGTGCTGTGTCACCTCTGCAGACCTCACACACCCGGTGTGGCTTTGCTACTTGTGAGAGAGTTGTTAAAACAGGTTTGTGAACCTGTGAATTACTATGATTGACTGGGCGGGATATGTTCCTCACTTAGGTGCATATGGCATGATAAGTTATTATTTGAATTTGTGACCTCCCAATGAGGAATGCTACTGTAAAGGTTTTGGGAGTGGGGAGGAATGCCTTTTTTTAATTAATTATATCACATAATTCACCTTATAGAAAGAAGGCAAGAAGTTGTTCTAGCAAGATTTTTGTAGTGTGGGATTGTAAAGAGTTCTGCTTGCCATTTAAAAGACAGACAGACAGACAAATTTGGCCTGATATGCATCTGTTGAAGATGAAAATATTTTCTAAAGAATGAGGCTGACTCTGTACTGTCAGAAGCAAAGTGATAATTTGTCCTCTGAGTAAAGGTTGTGCTGCCAAGGTGTCCCAAATCTCTTGTCAGTAAATGTAGAAGGGTATTCTTCCATAACAGCAAACAGTTTTTCATTCAGGTGTATGTGAACTACTGGCTAGTCATACTGTGTGTAGTTTCCCAGTGGTGCCAAAATAACACCATCAGAAGCTGGTATCAGTGGCCCTAATAGCATCATGATACCTACAGGCAGAACCACCACAGTGTCTTCACCTCAAAAGAAGTCATGACTTTGAACTGTGGTGTACAGAGAGCTAGTTAGGCAAAAGAGCACCTTGGAAGGTACACCCATTTGTGCACCAGAACAGCCTGCAGATCTTCAGCTGACATCTGTGGGAGCTCTGCTGCAGACTGAATGTAAAATAGAGCCTGAGGTGGATCCCACACACTGACAGTCTGGATACTTGGGCTACAGATAAACCTAGATTTTATTTATTTTATCTTTATAGAAGGAGCTGTTCTTTTTGGGGATCACTATAGGAGTGAAATTGGAATATTAATAGAATAGGTTGGGGAACATACAGGAAAAACCCATAACAGTACCAAACTGCCATGATCAAATTGGCTATTCAGTTGAGCATATTAAAATTTCAGGGGTGAAAAAGCTGAACTACCAGTTCTGCTGTATAATCTTCTGCTTAAAATTGGACTGGAAAAGTAACTAATGAATGCTAAATATATTTTTCTAAGAAATATAAGATGTAGGTATGTTCAGTTCAGGAAACAGCCCAGTATATCTGGTGACTGTCTAGAATTCAGTAGAAATTATCCAGAATAGTGAGCCTATGGATAAATGACGTATTTGGGAGGAGTCAAAACAGCTTTTGTCAGGTCTTGTAAGTCTCTTGGAGTTGAAGGAGTGAATGAACTCCTTCATTCCCTCTTCCCATTGAACTCCTTCATTCCCTCTCCATTGAACTCCTTCATTCCCTCTTCCATTGAAGGAGTCAGCGAGCACATGTAGACAGGAATCCAGGTGATAAGTCTGTTTAAATTTCCAAAAGGTTTTTGACACAGTCATTCATTAAAAGCTTTTAAAGGGCTTAAAGCTGTGGGCTTAAAGGAAAAACCTTTATATGGATGAGGAAGTGACTGGAAGATACGAGAGCGAGCAGACAGAAATAGTGTATTTTTCATGGTGAAATGAGCTCAACAATAGAATCCTGAAAAGGATCGTTTAAAACAATTTGAAGAAGTGGCTGACAAAATTTGTTAGATACTGAATTTTCCAGAGCAGGTTGGGTTTCCTTTGGTTTTCGTTTGTTTGTTTGGATTTTTTGGGTGTTTCTATTGTTATTTTTGTTGTTGGGAGTTCTGGTTGGTTGGTTGTTTTGTTTTGGGTTTTGTTTCTTTCAGTCGATTCATTATAAATAATAGCACAGGAACTTCATAAACTCAATGTGAAATTATGGAAGACTGCTATGAAATCGAAACTATGAGATTGAAACTATGAAATGACAAAAAGTGAAAGATTGAATACAAATAAACACAAAATGATGCACGTAGGAGGGTAGCGCTAGTGACAAAATTATTCTTCCCCCTTGTGAAAAAATATCTTTAAACTGTCAAATGTATATGTCAGTGCATTGCTTAGTCAAAAATAAATTCCGAATGGTGGGACTTAAAAATTGAAGGGGTAAAAACAAGCATGTCACTATTTAAATTTATAGTGTTCTCATATTTTTAATATTGTGCCTAAGTCCAATTCCCATGTATTCTGGTAGAACATGAAAAAGTAAGAATGACAAGGTGGTCAGAAGTATGGAATGCTGTCTGTATACAGAGTGACTGAATGTATATGTCTGTATACAGAGTGACCTAGAAAAGATACTTCTGAGAGAGAATATATTAGGAATCTGTTGAATCACGAATAGTACAGAGATGATGAGTTCGGATGGACTGTTTAATATCTGTTCTGATACAGTAATCCAATTAAGTGAAGCAGGTAGCAAATGCAAAATGGACAAAAAGAGGTGATCCTTCACAGCTCACATAATTAAGCTATATAATTTTTTGCCTTAGGTTGAGGACATTAACATTTTATTTGGGGTTGAGGGCTAACTGGACAAAGTTGTAGAGGAATCCAGCCAGACTATTACAGGTGCTAACACAGAACTTGGTAAATGCTTGGAGGCCAAAAGGATGATCCACAGAAGTATCTCTGTGTAGTTCTTCCCCTCCCCCCACTTTTTTTATGCTCTTTATAGGCATATTTGTTCACTGCCAGATCTTTGGCCCGACTCTGTGGAGTAAGTAAGTTTATTCTGTGGGCAGGATCCAAATTGGCACGATTCATGCACTGTAGCTAGAAGAACTTTTGGAAAAAACCTTGCAGATGAAGGCCAGTGATCAGAAGTGTCTGTTATTGACCTCTTGCAAGTTACAGCACGAGAAAACAGCTCTAATGCACAAAGTTACACAATAACCATTGGAAGAAAATGAAGCAAGAAAGCACTGACAGATTAACTTTCACTTTATATAGCACGAGTTACAGAAATAGGCAAATGTGTGTAACTTCCAATGGTGCATACAGTATTTACACTTACAGGTTGTACCCTAGTTCTAGCTATGTGGCTGTTGCAGCAAGTCAGTAACATCGAAGCAGCAGTGACTAAGATTCTGTCTTAAAAACTTTCTCCTTGGACATAAACTGGAAGTTTACAGGGTAACTCTAGGGAGTTGGTCATCCCTACAACAATGCTTGTGTCTGGGAGGAGTTATGTTGGGTTTAAGGTAAGGTAATTAGTTCTTCAGCTATTTAAGAAAAAATAGTAACTTTTAATTTATTTTCTTCTTTGCAGACCACCAAATCCCATTGAATTTCTAGCAGCATATCTTTTAAAAAACAAGTCACAATTTGAGGACCGAAATTAACTCCATAAAAATGAGGACAGTTTGGCTGCTAGACTGAGATGGTCATTTGCCACAGTTGGTTTTCTGCTGTAAAAATCCTTTCGAACTTTGAAAGACTTTGTGTCTTTCTTAATCACACAGTTTGCTTTACCTTTTGAGTTATTTAATAAAGAACACTTTACATTTAATTTGTTCACTTGTTTTAAACTAGCTATTAAGAGACTTTCAAAATAAAGCACAGAAACTGCACTGCTGGATGAAAGTCTGAATAATTCCACGCGGCTACATCACCTGAAGGTATGACACAAAGGGGAAAAATTCCTTATGGGAATCACATGGGTGATAATGTATATAACTTAATTTGATTTTATATAGCACCCTCCATATGCAACATGCCTAAGCAGAAAGCATACAAATTAAGAGCAGTTAAAATTTATTTTGAGGAAGTACTGATTAAGCAGAGGGGAGAGAACTTGTGTCAGAAGTCCACAAAATGGGTGTGTGTCAGAACAAATTATTAGATTCAGCAGCTGAACAGCTCACCTGCAGACAGTGTCTAATGCACATGTGTATGTTCATGAGGTGTGCTGTTCAGCGTTTGTATTGATCTGTGACTGCTATGCTAGATTTAACTTGATAGAATAAAGTTTGAGGGTACTTACAAAGGTTCTGTAATTCAGTTCTCTGTATTGCTACCCTAGTTGGAATGTTCTGTCTCTGCCCAAGATAGAATCATAGAGTATCTCAAGTTGGAAGGGACCCCTAAGGACATCAAGTCCTTGCAGGACTAAGTAAAACTAAACTATATGACTAAGTATCATGCAGATGCTTCTTGAACCCTGACAGGCTTGGAGCTGTGACCACTTCCAGTGAATGACCACTTCTCGGTGAACAGCTTTTTCCTGATGTCCAAAATAATCCTAATCTACCCAGTAAAATACCAAGTATTCTGATTTACCCCCCACCTTTTTTCCCTCCCATTCTTAACATCTTTTTCTGACCCCTTGTTTTTTCTGTAATCTCAGTAAGAGTAAAGGCCACAGACCTCAGGGTACTGAGGTACTGAGTACTATAAGAGGCTGCACCAGAAGATGGGAGCAGAAGAAAAAGACAGAATTAAGACAGTAAAATGTTGTGAAATATAGTAGCAAGGCTCCGAAATACCAATGTTGTAGCTGGAGAACTGGCTAGCTAGGTTATTGGCAATGGGTACAGGGACTAGCACAGCCCTCAGAATTCCCATTTTTGTTTTCTGAAACTTGTAACAAGGAGCATAATGCATGTTGTTCACTAGCGCTGAATACGGGAATCCAGATTAAGCACAGCCCAGTTTTTAACAGACTGAGAGAATTACGATAATTTGTTTTGACAGTCACAGAAATGGTAAATTTGGCTTCCAAGAGTTGCTCAATTAATCAAAATCCTAAATTGTATCAAGTTCAATACTACTATCTTATCCTTCCCATCTCCATTCTGTGTTTCTCAACTAATTGCTTTAAGAAAGCAGGCAGTTAAATCCTAGAAAATTAAATCCTTTGCTGCAAGGGCTGGAGATTTTTTCGGTGTGATGTTAAAAGCTGCTGCTTTTTTTTTTTTTTCCCCCAATTATGTGTAAATTCACGAAAAGACATAAATCTCTTACTTGTTCCTGTAATGACTAAAATATACATGCTGTATTGGCAGCATATTAGGTGGCCCACTGCACAAATAATATTCTCCCTTTGTTCTCTGACATCTAGATGACTTTCCTATGGTAACACAAAGATTTTTTGTTTTAGCATAGCTTTTCTTCTTTAAAAGCCTAGATACATGCATGTAAGAATGGCCAGAAGATAGATCCTTCAGAGGAAAACATTTTTCAACTGTGCTAACTTGCAGGGGCTGGAATGAGATCTGGCCGTTACTCCTAGTAGAAAGGCTCTCAGTATTTTACATATTTCTTAATATGCTAGAGGGAAACATTGAATTAGTGCAGTCCAAGAGGAGTAAGACTGGGGAACAAAAAAAAAAAAAAATTTAAAGAAACCTGCAAACACAAAGCCAAGCCTAAAAAGTTCTATTTTGGAGAACATACAGAAATTGTGGAATGAAATTAGTAATTCTATTGCATTGTGGTGAACAGACTCTCCATCAAACACTGACACTTTAACAACAGTGTTTTGAATTTCTGGAATGAGTAACAACATTTCAGTGAAGACAAGGAGACACACCATACTGACTTTCTTATTGCTGAAGCAGCATTCCAAGGTTTCATCCATAGGTGGCAACATTGCAAGATCGTAAGAATTGTAAAATGGGTAGGAAAAAACCCCAACTATCCATGCTGCTCCCCAGTTTCCACGTTGAAAACAGAAGCATAGAAACCATAGTAAAAAGAAGCAGTTCAACTATTAATCTTCCCTAGACAGAAGATTACACTATATCGTCATACCTGAATTCCACATACAATCAGATTTCTCATCTTACAGTAACACCCATCAAGCAGCTGCACAAAACTTGTAACCACTCCAGCTTTCTGCACAGCTCTTGCACCAACCTAGAATCTCAAAGGTACCAGTCTTAAGGTGAGCTATCCCTCAGCAACAACAACCCACCTACTCAGCTGCTGGTGCAACTGCTTGGTATGTGGTGTCACCTGCTGTTGTCTTCCCATCTAGGATAGTTGAAGAGAATGGAAAAGCCACGTTCACACGGTGATGATGTTAGAAGATGTACTACAGCAGCTTTTCTGGGCAGCTTCCTTCAAGAAAGTAAGTTGAAATGTTACTAGCAGCAGTGAACTCACCAGTTCTAAGAAATTAATCTTGGCGATTCTTGCAAAGGTATGACAAGTCAACAAGAAAAGTGCAACCATATTCCTTTACCTGTTAAATTGGCTTCACCAATTCTATCTGCCGCATACAGAATCCTCTGCAACAGGAAGAAGATGGTAAGGTACTATCTGAATAATCAGATCACGTCTGAATAATCCAGTTGTCAAAGTTAGGAAAGTAATGATAAAGTCCAAATTTTCAAAGTATTTACTTGTTTTAAACATTCTCCACTACAAAAAAATGAACATTTTGTGAAGAGACTTGACAGATGCTTGCTATCCCTATTTAATCCAGAAAGAAGTACTATTTTTCCTTAGCAAACACCAGTTCTGAGGGCTTCAAGAGAAATGTATTTAATTTTGAAGTACAAATTAAAAACCAAGTGATTTTACGTTTATAAAATTGAGGAACTCATCAATCAAATGAACAGATGGAAAGGGCTACAAATTATTAATAGATGTAGAATAAAAGCTTGAATAATTGAAAATGGCAACTTTAGATGTATGACAGGCCACTGCTAAGTAGCTGAAAGCCATTATCTCTTGATTCTTGAACAACTATTTTTCAGTTTTCTCCATGCTACCCTAGGTAACTGAGTCAGGATGTGCTCTGAAGTGCAGTAAAATTAAGCAGAAAATAAAACAGAAAACCTGGTCAACACCATAGCATACCTTCCAAGATGACTATTTTAGATCCAATATCCAGACATTACTATTCATTAACTGTGAAAGAATTACATATGACTCATATGCAGTATTTTGAAGTCTGCCTTTTTAAATGATTCCACAGGGAACATTATCTTTTACCTTGAAGGGGACAGCGACAGAAGAAAAGTACGAGCAATTCTGATCAAAGGGTTCTATATCTTCATACTCTGAAGCCTGTTAGCACCTAAAAATACCGTTTGACTTGCCAAATCTTTCTTCTTTCTTTTTTTAAATCTCTTGATTTATCAAGAACTTTCTCCAAAATCAGTACAAGCTTTAAGCTATCAATTTTATTTTCTGAAGTGCTGTCACTATTGTAAATGCAGTCTGATCAAAAGAACTTCTCTCTCCTCATCAGACTTCCTACAAATGAAGCAGCTGCTTTCAAACAAATGAAAAACATGAAAAAATCTGACAGATAAAAGCAGTTGAAACCAGTAGGTTGGAAAGGAAACACATGAAAAGAATCCCTATGCCTACCATGCTTCATAGAGTACAGGTTTTGATTTATTCTTATCACTGTACTAATTACGTAACACATTATTCTTAGCCAAGCTTGAGTTCCTGCCTCCCCTGCACATTAGAGAAACAGACTGAAATAGTAGGTGTGAACAGGTAAGTGCTCCTCTTACTTCTTCCTCTACAGACAAAGCAGGAGGATCTCCCAACATATCCCATGCTTCACAGCATTCAGCTGATAGCTCAGCCCAGTTTTTCAGCCTGTGGCTAGAATCTTCCGTGTCCCGAGCACAAGGAAGCCCAGCAACAAGCACCACCATCTTCTATTCAATTGAAGAGCCTGCTTTTCTGTTTCTGCTGCTTTGATTTTTATTATGTGGTACTGAGGGAGTGCATCACCAGCCCTTAAACAAATTAAAAATCCATTATCAGAAGGTGACAGTTTAAAGTTTAAAAAGAAGAACCTAGAAACCACTAAATGCTGCTCAGTTGTATTATGTCCACCTGCAACAAGGAACAAAGCAAAAATCCTAATGTCACCCTTGCCACCCTGCAATTTCATGGCAGAAATTCCTCCTGTAGTAGTACGGATAATAAGCTTTGGTAGGAACAGGCAGAAACTGAGGAGGATGTCCTCCAGCTCCTGGAGGACTGAAAGCATTAGTTGACAACAGAGAAGGATGGAGATTCATTGGAAAACAGGCTGCCGTGGTGTTTGTGGCACATGCCACAATCCAAGGAATAGCAAAAAAGCCTGCGCTTTTTACAACCCGCTAACACTGAGCTGCAGCTGTTGCTCTGCATCTATACGGATACTGTGTTCACATTACATAGACTTTATCCCAATTTACATCTAATCTTAATGAGAAAAAACTAGATACAAGGAAAGAAAGGTTGATGAGAAAAGCAAGGGAGAAGGAAACTTTAAAAGGATGCACAAGAAGAAAAGGGATCCAGCCGAGAGGCATACAGCAACAATAACAAAATATTTAAGAAATTTTAAAAGGCAAGCTGAAGAGGAAAAACCAAACCTACATTAAGAAAGGTAGTAAACCCTCAAGAATCAATACATACAATTTTTTTTAACTCATGAAACCGTCTAGATTACCATTTGGAAATTCTTGTATTTTGAAGTGCTTGGAGGAGATGCAAGCTGTTCCTCTAAATGGTAGAGAGGAATACCAAACAATTAAAATTTATTTTAACCCCAGTTCACCTGAGATGTTTGCTCTGGCAGTCCCCTCTAACTCTTCCTGGTAGATTGTGTGGCA